TAGAATGATGGGAGTTACCAAAAAGCTGCTATTTTGTTTCATCTGTCCACAGCACATTCTCCCAAAAGGATTTTGGCTTTCTCAGGTATGTTTTGGCAAACTCCAATCTGGCTTCCAATATGTTTCTGTGTCAGCAGTGGGGTCCTCCTGGGTCTCCTCCCATATTTCTGTGTCAGCAGTGGGGTCCTCCTGGGTCTCCTCCCATATTTCTGTGTCAGCAGTGGGGTCCTCCTGGGTCTCCTACCATATTTCTGTCAGCAGTGGGGTCCTCCTGGGTCTCCTCCCATATTTCTGTGTCAGCGGTGGGGTCCTCCTGGGTCTCCTCCCATATTTCTGTGTCAGCAGTGGGGTCCTCCTGGGTCTCCTCCCATATTTCTGTGTCAGCGGTGGGGTCCTCCTGGGTTTCCTCCCATATTTCTGTGTCAGCAGTGGGGTCCTCCTGGGTCTCCTCCCATATTTCTGTGTCAGCAGTGGGGTCCTCCTGGGTCTCCTCCCTTATTTCTGTGTCAGCAGTGGGGTCCTCCTGGATCTCCTCCCATATTTCTGTGTCAGCAGTGGGGTCCTCCTGGGTCTCCTCCCATATTTCTTTGTCAGCGGTGGGGTCCTCCTGGGCCTCCTACCATATTTCTGTGTCAGCGGTGGGGTCCCTCCTGGGTCTCCTCCCATATTTCTGTGTCAGCAGTGGGTTCCTCCTGGGTCTCCTCCCATATTTCTGTGTCAGCAGTGGGGTCCTCCTGGGTCTCCTCCCATATTTCTGTGTCAGCAGTGGGGTCCTCCTGGGTCTCCTCCCATATTTCTGTGTCAGCGGCGGGGTCCTCCTGGGTCTCCTACCATATTTCTGTGTCAGCAGTGAGGTCCTCCTGGGACTCCTCCCATATTTCTGTGTCAGCGGTGGGGTCCTCCTGGGTCTTCTCCCATATTTCTGTGTCAGAAGTGGGGTCCTCCTGGGTCTCCTCCCATATTTCTGTGTCAGCAGTGGGGTCCTCCTGGGTCTCCTCCCATATTTCTGTGTCAGCAGTGGGGTCCTCCTGGGTCTCCTCCCATATTTCTGTGTCAGCGGCGGGGTCCTCCTGGGTCTCCTACCATATTTCTGTGTCAGCAGTGAGGTCCTCCTGGGACTCCTCCCATATTTTTCTGTGTCAGCGGTGGGGTCCTCCTGGGTCTTCTCCCATATTTCTGTGTCAGAAGTGGGGTCCTCCTGGGTCTCCTTCCATATTTCTGTGTCAGCAGTGGGGTTCTCCTGGGTCTCCTCCCATATTTCTGTCAGCAGTGGGGTCCTCCTGGGTCTCCTCTCATACTTCTGTGTCAGCAGTGGGGTTCTCCTGGGTCTCCTCCCATATTTCTGTGTCAGCAGTGGGGTCCTCCTGGGTCTCCTCCCATATTTCTGTGTCAGCAGTGGGGTTCTCCTGGGTCTCCTCCCATATTTCTGTGTCAGCAGTGGGGTCTTCCTGGGTCTCCTCCCATATTTCTGTGTCAGCAGTGGGGTCCTCCTGGGTCTCCTCCCATATTTCTGTGTCAGCAGTGGGGTCCTCCTGGGTCTCCTACCATATTTCTGTGTCAGCAGTGGGGTCCTCTTGGGTCTCCTCCCATATTTCTGTGTCAGCAGTGAGGTCCTCCTGGGTCTCCTACCATATTTCTGTGTCAGCAGTGAGGTCCTCCTGGGTCTCCTACCATAGGGTCCCTTTTCATTCAGATGGCGACGTATAGTGTGAACGGACACAGTTGCGCCCTGTGCCTGAAGGTCAGCTTGATTTGTCTGGAAGTTGATGGAGGTTCTTTAGCCACCATTCCAACAATCCTTCGTTGCAATCTTTGCTCAATTTTTCTCTTTTGTCTACGTCCAGTGAGATCAGCTACAGTGCCATGAGCTGTAAACTTCTTGACAATGTTCCGCACAGTGGACACAGGAACATGAAGATCTCTGGAGATGGACTTGTCACCTTGAGATTGTCCGTGCTTTTCCACCATTATTGTTCTCCAGTCCTCAGACAATTCTTTGCTGCTCTTTCTCTCCCCCATGCTCCATGTGGCACACAGAGACACACCACAGAAAGGTGGAGGCCATTTTTCCCCATTGTCCCTGGTTGTCGGTGTGATTCCTATATTGTCATGCCCGGTCATGGATACGGGGAGTTTTAATGACAAATTCCAGGAGCGTCACAGACTTGGAATGCGATTATTTCTTACGATTTTGAGAAGGTGCCAATAATTTTGTCCGGTCCATTTTTGGGGTTTTGGGTGGAATGTGTCAGATTTGGCTTTATGTTTCTCCACTTTTTTGTGTCGTACCGATACTAACCAAAGAAATAAACACGAGAATGCCGAAATATTTGTAAACATTTGCCTAGTTGACGCTGGGCGTCCTCCAACCAGGAAATGAGGCGGGGTCAGTTTGACTTGTCATGCACATTGTGAGAAGCTCACAGTGTGCAGTGAATTCCGAGGCACCAGAGCTGTGAGTGTCTGGTGATGGATTGGGTCTGGTTTTGGGTGGAGGGGGGTGTAATATTGGCAGCATATTGCTCAGCGATTATTTAGTAGCACAGAATTATGACTTCAGGTGGTGACAAGAAGCCGGCCGCCCATCACATACCGCGCGGTATGTTGACCGTGAGATCTCTGTTATCCCGAAGCTTAGTGCATAAGCTGTAGGAATGTGCTGAGAGGCCACGCCTATGCCAGCCTTGTATGATGCTGTGAGGCCACGCCTATGCCAGCCTTGTATGATGTGAGGCCACGCCTATGCCAGCCTTCTATGATGTGAGGCCACGCCCCTGCCAGCCTTGTGTGATGTGAGGCCACGCTCCTGCCAGCCTTGTATGATGTGAGGCCACGCCCCTGCCAAGCCTTGTGTGATGTGAGGCCATGCCCCTGCCAGCCTTGTATGATGTGAGGCCACGCCCCTGCCAGCCTTGTATGATGTGAGGCCACGCCCCTGCCAGCCTTGTATGATGTGAGGCCACGCCCCTGCCAGCCCTGTATGATGTGAGGCCACGTTCCTGCCAGCCTTGTATGATGTGAGGCCACGCCCCTGCCAGCCTTGTATGATGTGAGGCCACGCCCCTGCCAGCCTTGTATGATGTGAGGCCACGCCCCTGCCAGCCCTGTATGATGTGAGGCCACGTTCCTGCCAGCCTTGTATGATGTGAGGCCACGCCCCTGCCAGCCTTGTATGAATACCCGCTTGTGCCATGTATGAACATTGTCCTCCCTCTTCACTGACCCGGGCATCAGAACTCGCTGATACTTTGCCAATGGCGAATTCCACAATTTTCAGACAGGACACAATTCTAATTGATGTCACCTGACCTCCACCCAGAAGTAATATTGTAGTTCGGGGGGGTCATGCATAATTTCATCATCAGCCTATGGTTGCCCTCAATGGCCCGGTTGTATCAGTAAGACTAGATGTCCAGAGCACCCCCCCCCCCCTCCTCCCCCCTATCAGAAGTCAAGAATGCCCCACTCTCTCTTACATAACAGTGCACCCCCCCTTGCCTTGTGCTGGAAGGCGGGGCAGAGCTGGGAAGCAGAAAGTGCAAGGTCTGGAGGAGGACCACAGGAGGTCTGAATGCTGAGATGAGGGGGTGCTGCGGCTGCACAGAGAGGTGCAGGATCTGTAGAAGGAGATCTGTCCTCCTCTCTGGCGACTGCTGAGAAGAGGTGGGGCAGAGAAGAGCCTCTACACAGCTGCATTGAGAAGTGCGGGATCTGGTGGAGGAGTTCTGTCCTCTCTACTGCCAACTGCTTAGATGCAGTGGATCAGAGAGGAGCCTCTCCACAGCTGCATGGACAAGCGCAGGATCAGGTGGAGGAGTACTGTCCTCCTCCCTGCTGCCAAGTGCTGAGAAGGGGTGGGGCAGAGAGGAGCCTCTCTGCAGCTGCATGGAGAAGTGCAGGATCTGGTGGAGAAGCTCTGCCCTCCTCTTTACTGCCAACTGCTGAAAAGGGGTTGGGCAGAGACAAGCCTCTCTGCAGCTGCATGGAGAAGTGCAGGATCTGGTGGAGAAGCTCTGCCCTCCTCTTTACTGCCAACTGCTGAAAAGGGGTTGGGCAGAGACAAGCCTCTCTGCAGCTGCATGAAGAAGAGCAGGATCTGATGGAGGAGTGGTGTCCTCCTCTCTACTGCTAACTGCTGAGAAGGGGTGGCGAAAAGATGAGCCTCTCTGCAGCTGCATGAAAAGAGCAGGATCTGATGGAGGAGTTGTGTCCTCCTCTCTACTGCTAACTGCTGAGAAGGGGTGGGGCAGAGACGAGCCTCTCTGCAGCTGCATGAAGAAGAGCAGGATCTGGTGGAGGAGTTCTGTCCTCCTCTTTACTGCCAACTGCTGAGAAGGGGTGGGGCAGAGAAGAGCCTCTCCACAGCTGCACGGAGAAGCGCAGGATCTGGTGGAGGAGTTCTGAGACAAGGTGGGGGTGGGGGTTTGGATGAGGGGGGTGCCACAACTGCAGTAGAGATGCCAGCAATGCCGGGACAAGGTCAGCTAGCACCCAGGATGAAGATGCCAAACAGTGCCCCTCACCCCCCCAAATGTATGAGCATTCTGTGTCATTGCAAATCTCTTTCCTCCCTCCAAAAAAATGCAAACACTATAGGGAGGCTATAGCTTTCAATGGACATGCGTTGTGGTGCGCTCCAAAAAAATAGTGTGCACACTATTCCTTGGCAGCGTGCATTGGAGGGGATTTTTCTGAATGAATGACACCGCAGTGCACCAACGCACATACCGGCACATCACGGCACATCACACATAACATGCGTTGCCACACACTGTGGTACCCAGAGGCGGACTGACCATTTAAGCACTGCCCGAGGGCCCAGGGTCATTAGGGGTCCCATGAGATGCCCCAGGTACCTTTCATTGGCTTTTTCATAGGCTTTTTTGGGTGTGAGCGAGGTCACAGGGGCTCCATGATCCCTTATTGCCCGGGGGCCCCATCCCTGGTGGTACCTCACACACCTTACCACAACCCCACAATGTGAATAGGTCCTGATATAGGAGAGAAGACAGAAGTTCATTGTAAGTATGTTTACCCTTCCCCGCTCCCCCATCCCAGAAATACACAATAGCGGGATCCTGGTGGCACAATCCTGCCGACAACGTCAATGATACAATCCCCTCCCCCCCTATGCACATCACTGCGTCCGATGGAAATCCTCCAGCTTATCCAGTTCCATATTTTATAGAGGAGATCCTGTGTGACCACACACAGTGAGATGTCTGTATAATTCAGTCTAATCTGGGCAGATTGTACAATCTGATTGTAGCATGTGTGGTCAGCAGTAGACAGCATCATCATAACACAGGAAACATGTCTCTTTATGAAGAAATCGGTGTGGTGGGCTGAAACACGAGACTGTCTGTGATGGATTTGTGCACTGGTGTCACCTATGCTCTGCTCTAGGTGATGCTCTTTACTCCATAACCTTGGTGCTGTAACCCCCCCCCCCCCCCCCCCCCCTGAACACACAGAGCCCCCCCCTTACTGCGTTTACCAGCTGTGGACCATATCAGAGCTATAATATCTCGGCCAAACAATATCTCGGCCAAACAGACTTTCCCCTCATAGAGCCATAAAACAAGACTTTAATGGTACTCTGGGCAGAATTTCGCTGTTCTTTCATATCAGTTTATGTTGATTTTATGGCACCAACATGTGTACTGAGCACATGAAACGTTCACACCGCCATGTGCTGGTGGTAGTTGCCATTTTAGGCTGAAGGAAGCTGAATGGTTTGGTCCACCTAGCCAGGGGCGGACTGACAACTCATGGGGCCCCCGGGCAATAGGAGATTATGGGGCCCCTGTGTCCTTGCCCAAACTCAAAAAAGCCTATGAAAAAGGTACCAGGGGCATCTCATGGGGCCCCCTACTGACCTCGGGCCCTCGGGCAGTGCCCGAGTTTCCAAATGGTCAGTCCGCCCCTGCACCTAGCTTCCTCTTCAGCGTGTACATTACGCTTTATAGCATCAAAGAACTGCAATGATCACAGTGGGCCATCAGCAGCCTTCTGGGATTTATAGTGCTTTGACGGTTGAGGTGTGGCAGGAATTCTGTCTGAATGGAATTCTTCTGTATCACAAAGGAGAGTCAGGGTGGGTGTTGGCTGATGTGGGTTGGAGGACCTCCAAGTCTTCCACCCCCATGCAGGTCTCCATTCCCCAGTGACCTCGAATACCAGACGTGACCTCTTCCATCATGGTTGAGGGTCAGCAGAATGCTACAAGAATTCCAGAAGAAGAATTTCCTAATTGTTTATGGTAGTAGCTAACATGAGTCATGGCTGATTAGATTCAATCTTCCAAGGCAGGCTTGCATCTGATTGGCCTAATACGTTAGGGGAGGAGTTTGCACCTAGGAATAGAAAAAAATCTAATCTGATATCCAACTATTGGAACTTTTGATCAATTGGGGGATCCTTGAGAGCCTCCGAAGTAATCCAGAGAGTTTGCAGGGAGGCGTCTAAGAGTTCTTCTTCTGCATCACAAGGGACGTGTTGGTGGAACACTAAACCTGGGAATCCAAGAAAATCAAATCTACATTCAACTTTTATAGAGTGCTCCATCAACTGCGAGATCCCTGAGGGCCCCTAGAGAGCAGACGAATGATAAGAACGCCGCAAAACTGGAGTAAATTTGATTTTTCATGTCAGAAAAAAATGCCAACATGTTTCAGTACCTTAATCCCCCCTTCTTCAGGGCAGTGACTAGGCTGCCAGATTGGCAACCCGATTTATTTTTCTATTCTTACAAATATTGTCCAATATTATCTCCAATCACTATCAACACAAGCCATGATGAAGGGGGAGTTTTGAGCCCCTGAAATTCTGACCTCTGATCATGAAAAGAAAGGTTCTATTGGACTCCAGATTTTTTTCAATCCTTACAATTCTTGTCCAGGTAATTCTTGTCAGGTAATGCTGATTTTTGTAGTCATTCTGGCGGTCAAATCATTACCAATACAAGCTCTGATGAAGGAGGGCTTTGAGCCCCCGAATCATGTTGGCTTTTTTCTCTGAAAAATAATGTTCTACTGGACTTACTCCAGATTTGTGGCACTCTCATCCTTTACATACTCTTCAGACTATCTTGGGAGCCCTCAAGGATCCCACAGCTGATAGAGAGCTGCCTCCAAAAGTTGGATTCCAGATATGTTTTCCGTTGCTGGGTTCAGGAGAAAAGCCAATGTGTTCTGGGGGCTCACAATTCCCCCTTCATCAGAGCTCATGCTGGCAATGGTTGAAGATAATACTGGACAAGAATTGTAAGACTGTAAAGATAAGGTAAAGCTGGCCTGGTCGTCAATTTGGAAGCCCAATCACTACCAGGATCAGCAAAAGGTGGAGCTTTCAGCCCCCAAAACATGTTGACTTTTTTCTCTGAAAAATAAAGTTCTTCTGGACTTACTCCAGATTTGTGACACTCTCATCCTTTGCATACTTTTCAGACTATCTTGGGAGCCCTCAAGGATCCCACAGCTGATAGAGAGCTGCCTCCAAAAGTTGGATTCCAGATATGTTTTCTGTTGTTGGGTTCTGGAGAAAAGAAAGAGTTCTGGAGGATCACAATTCCCCCTTCATCAGAGTCCATGTTGGCAATGGTTGAAGATAATACTGGACAAGAATTGTAAGGATTTTTTTCAATCCTTACAATTCTTGTCCAGGTAATTCTTGTCAGGTAATGCTGATTTTTGTAGTCATTCTGGTGGTCCAATCACTACCAATACAAGCTCTGATGAAGGAGAGCTTTGAGCCTCCGAAACATGTTGGCTTTTTTCTCTGAAAAATAATGTTCTGCTGGACTTACTCCAGACTTGTGGCACGCTCATCCTTTGCATACTTTTCAGACTATCTTGGGAGCCCTCAAGGATCCCACAGCTGATAGAGAGCTTCCTCCAAAAGTTGGATTCCAGATATGTTTTCTGTTGTTGGGTTCAGGAGAAAAGCCAATGTGTTCTGGGGGCTCACAATTCCCCCTTCATCAGAGTTCATGCTGACAATGGTTGAAGATAATACTGGACAAGAATTGTAAGATTGTAAAGATAAGGTAAAGCTGGCCTGGTCGTCAATTTGGCAGCCCAATCGCTGCCAGTATCAGCCCTGACAAAAGGTGGAGCTTTGAGCCCCCAAAACAAGTTGGCTTTTTTCTCTGAAATATAAAGTTCTACTGGACTTACTCCAGATTTGTGGCACTCTCATCCTTTGCATACTCTTCAGACTATCTTACTAGCCCTCAAGGATCCCACAGCTGATAGAGATCTGCCTCCAAAAGTTGGATTCTAGATATGTTTTCTGTTACTGGGTTCAGGAGAAAATCCAGTGTGTTCTGGGGGCTCACAATTCCTCCTTCATCAGAGTTCATGCTGGCAACGGTTGAAGATAATACTGGACAAGAATTGTAGGATTGTAAAGATAAGGTAAAGCTGGCCAGGTCATCAATTTGGCAGCCCAATCGCTGCCAGTATCAGTCCTGACGAAAGGTGGAGCTTTGAGCCCTCGAAACAAGTTGGCTTTTTTTCTCTGAAAAATAAAGTTCTTCTGGACTTACTCCAGACTTGTGGCACTCTCATCCTTTGCATACTCTTCAGACTATCTTGGAGCCCTCAAGGATCCCACAAGCTGCCTCCAAAAGTTGGATTCCAGATATGTTTTCTGTTGCTGAGTTCAGGAAAAAAGCCAATGTGTTCTGGGGGCTCACAATTCCTCCTTCATCAGAGCTCATGTTGGCAATGGTTGCAGATAATACCGGACAAGAATTGTAAGATTATAAAGATAAGGTCAAGCTGGCCTGGTCGTCAATTTGGCAGCCCAATCACTGCCAGTATCAGCCCTGACAAAAGAGGGGAGCTTTGAGCCCCGAAACATGTTGGCTTTTTTTTCGCTGAAAAATAAAGTTCTGCTGGACTTACTCCAGACTTGTGGCACTCTCATCCTTTGCATACTCTTCAGACTATCTTAGGAGCCTCAAGGATCCCACAGCTGATATAGAAAGCTGCCTCCAAAAGTTGGATTCCAGATATGTTTTTTCGTTGCTGGGTTCAGGAGAAAAGCCAGTGTGTTCTGGGGGCTCACAATTCCCCCTTCATCAGAGCTCATGCTTGCAATGGTTGAAGATAATATAAACTTCTAACCCTGACCTACAAAGCCGTTCACAACACTGCCCCTGACTACCTCACCAACCTGATCCCCAAGTACCGCCCTACCCGTACCCTTCGCTCCTCACTGGACCTCCTTCTATCCTGCTCCCTGGTCTCCTCCTCCCATGCACGACTGCAGGACTTCTCCAGGTCCTCCCCCATCCTCTGGAACTCACTGCCCCAATCCATCAGACTGTCGCCTTCCCTCTTCACATTCAGGCGCTCCCTCAAAACCCATCTCTTCAGGGAAGCCTACCCCACCCTCAACTAATGGCCATTCTCCCTCTTTCCTCCCACCCCTCATTCCCCTCAGCCACTTCCTACTGTACCTTTACCCCCTCCCTCCTAGATTGTAAGCTCGAAAGAGTAGGGCCCTCTTACCCCTCGTACGTTGTTTGTTATTGTTGTACTGTGCCATGTATTGTCCCCCCCTCTATTGTACAGCGCTGAGCAAACCCTTTGGCGCTATATAAACTCGATGTAATAATAATAATAATAATAATAATATTGGACAACAATTGTAAGGATTGAAAAATAAGTAAATAGGTAATTCTGATTGTTGTAATCCAATCACTATCAATAAAGCTCTGATGAAGGGGAGCTTTGAGCCCCCAAAACATGTTGGCTTTTTCTTCTGACCTCTTGTCATGAATGATAGGACCTCCTAAATCACTGATCAAAGTAGAGGGACCTACAACAATGCTGGGAGGAGTCATTATAGCCCAGAGCGGGTCCCTGAGCTCACTGTACGTATTCCAAGAGATAATTATCTGTTATACTAGCAGTGTTACAGGCAGAGGTTATAGTTCAGGTGTTCAGGACGGGGTTAAGGGCAAGAGTCAGGATTAGCTTTAGAGGGTCATGTTGAGGGTTAGAGGTCCAAGGCTT